TCAAGTTCTGTGATCCCAAGCCCACCCTGCCTGCTCCCAGAGCACATCCATCACGTGCAGGTCCCAAACCCGTTGCTGTCACAAGAGCACTTGGAGCAGGTCACTGCACAGCAGACAGCTCTGTCCTGGTCCTCCTCCTCCCACAGCAGCACAGCAGATCCCAGTGGGAGCAGGGCCTGGCTCAGCAATCCCTGGTGCTTCTCCTGTTCCCAGCTCCTTCCCTCCCCGTGCAGCAGGAGCCCAGGTCTGTGGGACACGGGGAGGCTGCTCCTCATCACCGGCTGCTGCCCATCCTGTGGGTGCTGCCTGCACCCTCTTCTCTTCCCAAGCAGCTCCCCCACTGCGGGCTGGGAGCAGGAAGGGCAGGGATGCCGCAGGGATTAGTCCCAGACAGGCAGATGGAGGCAGCGTTATCCTATTAGCCAGGAGCTAAGCGGGATCAGCCCCGGGTGATGGCGGAGCAGGATGCGCCTGTGGGGTGGTGGCCACCCCAGCACCGGCTCTGCAGTGTCTGTGAGCCCTTGGGAACAGGTCAGAGCCGCAGCGAGGGACGGGCTCAGCACCCCTGTGCTCTGCTGGGGGGCTTGGGGTGGTGCTGGGACAGGGACAGGGACAGGGACAGGGAGAGGTCACTGCAGTGGGGCTGAGGGCATGGTGCTGGGAGCGCACTGGTGGTGATGGGGAGGAGGGGAGCAGGTCCTGCACTGCAGGTTCCTTGCTGCTTTCTGCATGGGTCTGTGCTCCATGGGAGGACACAGAGGAGCGAGGGTGGGATGAGTGGGAACCTAATGATGGGGCTTCCTTGTCCTTGGGCTGTGCGGACCTGCAGGGCTGCCCAGGACAGGGGCTGGAGCTGCAGGAGCTGGAAGGCCCCTTCCAACATAAGCCAGGCTTGGGGCCCTGTGACTGCGTGGGCTTCCTGCCAGGGGCTGGTTCCTCCTGGCTGTGTCCTCGTGTGTCTGTCCCAGGCATGGTCCTCTCCTGCACTGCCACTGTGTATGTGTGGGTGTCCTTGTGCTGGGTCCATGCGAGGAGCTGATGGGTTCAGGGATGTGGGGATGGGAGGGGGTTCCAGTCCATCCCATGCACATGGAGGAAATGGCAGACGGCAAGACCCGGGACCCCGCAGGGTGCGCATGCTAGGATCAGGGACCGAGGGCAGCATCAGGGACCCCAGGGCAGGATCAGGGACCCCAGGGCAGCATCAGGGACCCCAGGGCAGCATCAGGGACCCCAGGGCAGGATCAGGGACCCCAGGGCAGGATCAGGGACCGAGGGCAGCATCAGGGACCCCAGGGCAGGATCAGGGACCCCAGGGCAGGATCAGGGACCCCAGGGCAGCATCAGGGACCCCAGGGCAGCATCAGGGACCCCAGGGCAGCATCAGGGACCCCAGGGCAGCATCAGGGACCCCAGGGCAGCATCAGGGACCCCAGGGCACACAGGGACCCCAGGGCAGCATCAGGGACCCCAGGACAGGATCAGGGACCCCAGGGCAGGATCAGGGACCCCAGGGCAGGATCAGGGACCAAGGGCAGGATCAGGGACCCCAGGGCAGGATCAGGGACCCCAGGGCAGGATCAGGGACCCCGGGCAGGATCAGGGACCCCAGGGCAGGATCAGGGACCCCAGGACAGGATCAGGGACCCCAGGGCAGGATCAGGGACCCCAGGGCAGCATCAGGGACCCCAGGCAGGATCAGGGACCCCAGGGCAGCATCAGGGACCCCAGGGCAGCATCAGGGACCCCAGGGCAAACAGCACCCAGATCAGGGACCCCAGGGCAGGATCAGGGACCCCAGGGCAGGATCAGGGACCCCAGGGCAGCATCAGGGACCCCAGGGCAGGATCAGGGACCCAGGGCAGCATCAGGGACCCCAGGGCAGGATCAGGGACCCCAGGGCAGGATCAGGGACCCCAGGGCAGGATCAGGGACCCCAGGGCAGCATCAGGGACCCCAGGGCAGCATCAGGGACCCCAGGGCAGGATCAGGGACCCCAGGGCAGGATCAGGGACCCCAGGGCAGCATCAGGGACCCCAGGGCAGCATCAGGGACCCCAGGGCAGGATCAGGGACCCCAGGGCAGGATCAGGGACCCCAGGGCAGCATCAGGGACCAAGGGCAGGATCAGGGACCCCAGGGCAGGATCAGGGACCGAGGGCAGGATCAGGGACCCCAGGGCAGCATCAGGGACCCCAGGGCAGGATCAGGGACCCCAGGGCAGGATCAGGGACCCCAGGGCAGCATCAGGGACCCCAGGGCAGGATCAGGGACCCCAGGGCAGGATCAGGGACCCCAGGGCAGCATCAGGACCAAGGGCAGGATCAGGGACCCCAGGGCAGGATCAGGGACCCCAGGGCAGCATCAGGGACCCCAGGGCAGGATCAGGGACCCCAGGGCAGGATCAGGGACCCCAGGGCAGGATCAGGGACCCCAGGGCAGCATCAGGGACCCCAGGGCAGGATCAGGGACCCCAGGGCAGCATCAGGGACCCCAGGGCAGATCAACCCCAGGGCAGCATCAGGGACCAAGGGCAGGATCAGGGACCCCAGGGCAGGATCAGGGACCCCAGGGCAGGATCAGGGACTCTGGGGCAGGATCAGGGACCCCAGGGCAGGATCAGGGACCAAGGGCAGGATCAGGGACCCCAGGGCAGCATCAGGGACCCCAGGGCAGCATCAGGGACCCCAGGGCAGGATCAGGGACCCCAGGGCAGCATCAGGGACCAAGGGCAGGATCAGGGACCCCAGGGCAGCATCAGGGACCCCAGGGCAGGATCAGGGACCCCAGGGCAGATCAGGGACCCCAGGGCAGGATCAGGGACCCCAGGGCAGCATCAGGGACCAAGGGCAGGATCAGGGACCCCAGGGCAGCATCAGGGACCCCAGGGCAGCATCAGGGACCCCAGGGCAGCATCAGGGACCCCAGGGCAGGATCAGGGACCCCAGGGCAGCATCAGGGACCCCAGGGCAGCATCAGGGACCCCGCAGGGTGTGCAGGGCCTCACATGTGCTGGTGTTGTGCTGATGGCAGCGTGTTGTGCTGATGACAGTGCGTGGCTCTGGTTTCCATGGTGACTGTGTTCAGTGATGTTCCCATGGCTACACCCGTGCTGGATCCCAGAGCATCCCAGTGAGGCTGCTCCATTGAGCCCTGCTCCGGGGTGGCAGGGGCCGCAGGGGCAGCGTTCAGTGCAAGAACCAGACCCCGAGAAGGGGCGTGTGACAGGATCCTGGATTTGGGAGGCTACAGATGCTCCCTAAGGTCCCTTCCAGCCCTAACCTTTGACTGTGGGGTTCAGGCACTGCCAGGGCTGTGTGTGCAGTGGGATGGGGCTGGTCCTGACCTCCTGCCCCAGCCCCTCACTGCTGCTCCTGTGTCAGTTTGCTCTGCAGGACCAGCAGGAGGTGTTTGCCTTCAGGGCAAACCAGGCTGGGGCACAAGCTGGACCAGCAGCGTGGCTCTGGTGGGGAGGGATGAGTGGATCCATCCTGGAGCTGGGGATGTGCGACCTGGAGCTGTGCAGGGCTGTGACCCGTGGGAAACCAGTGTTCAGGGGCAGGGGTTCCCAGTGCCTGTCCTGTGGGGACTGGGATCCAGCTGGGACAGTGCCTGGAGAGAGCAGGAAACTTTGCCTTGGCCGAGTGATGCTGAACAGACCTACCCTGTGTTCATTCATGACCCCTCACTGCAGGAGAGACATTGAGGGGCTGGAGCGGGGCCAGAGAAGGGAATGGAGCTGGAGCAGGGCCTGGAGCACAGGGGAGATGGGGAAGGGCTGAGGGACCTGGGGGGTTCAGATGGAGAAGAGAAGGCTCAGGGGGGACCTGATGGCTGCCTCCAAGTGCCTGAGAGGAGGATGGAGCCAGGAGGGGCTGGGCTCTGCTCCCAAGGAACAAGGGATGGGACAAGAGGAACCGGCCTCAAGCTGCACCCGGGCAGGGTTAGATGGAGCTGAGGAACAATTCCTGCCCCAGAGGGTGCTCAGCATTGGAACAGGCTGCCCAGGGCAGGGCTGCAGGCACCGGCCCTGCAAGGGTTCACACATCCTCAGTGCCATGGGGCAGTGGTGGCCTTGGCAGTGCTGGGAACGGTTGGACTGGATGAGCTTGAAGCTGTTTCCCCACCGGGGTGATTCCATGCTTCCCCAGCAGGGAATCTGCTCCTGTGATTCCCCAGTGCTGCACTCACTGGTGCCTGGGCTCTGGGCTCCTCTCCTGCAGCAGATGCAGGCAGTGAGGGGGCAGCGCTCGGGCATCCCTGTGCCCAGCACTATCCCCCATCACCCCACAGACAGGATCCCTGTGTGGGCCCAGGATGCTGCTCCTCATCCTGCTGCCCTCTCTGGGATCAGCACCACTCTGCATCCCCCTGCCTGCTGGGGCAGTGGGTTTGCTCCCATGAGCAGTGCAATGGGACTTGCCCTTTGATCATCCACATATCCCAAGTGACCCAGTGACCCTGAAGAACAGGCAAAGGGAAAAGCCATGGGCATTGCCATCACCCATGAGGTGCTGTAGGGCACTGCTGGCAGGTGAAGGTGGGTCAATGGGCTCTGCTCCTGCTGCTCCTGAGCTCCCTGTTGGGTGAGTGCAGTGCCCTATGGGTCAGCTCTGGAGGCCAGGGCAGCGGTGGCAAAAGGACAAGGCTGGGCTGGTACAGAGCATGCTACCATTGACGTGGCACTGGGACAGAGCCATAGCAAACACTGGTGCTGGGGGACCTGGACCTGCTTGTGCCAGATAAGCACCGAGGGCGGCTCCGGCCCTGCGGGGCCCTTGCACTGGGCAGGACACCGGGACCAGCCCTGGGTGCTGGGAGCGTGGCCTGGGCGAGCTCTGGGCTCCCAATGCTGAGGTCAGGTCTGTGGTGGGGACAGAGCCCCCCAAGGAGCCCATCCCTGTGCCTGTCCCTGTGTCCATGCGCGCTGACCGCATCCCCCATCCATCAGTAACCCCGGGGGTGGTGGGGCTGGTCCATGGGCTCTGCCTGTGCTGAACGTGAACACTCAGACCCATGGAGGTGAGGGGGGTCTGGGGGGCTCCATGCCCAGGGGTCCCGGTGCTGGGAGCAGTCAGGAGTGGGAGGAACCCCTGTGATGGAGCCGGGAGCAGACTCCCAGTGGGAGCACGGCTCCGGTCTGTACAGGGGGGCTGCAGGCAGGGGGGCTGCTGGTGCGGGCAGGGGGATGTGCCCTGTCCCAGTGCGATGCCTCGGTGCTGCTCTGGAGCAGAGCCATGAAACAGTTCAGGTTGAAGGAACTTTAAAACTCACCCATTTCCACCCCCCTGCATTAACAGGGACTCGATTGCAGCAAATCCCAACCCCAGGAACCTCTCTGATCATTAGGGCAGAAATCCCTAGTTGGGTTTGCTCTCTGACATAATGAAGATTCAATTAGTTAATGCAAATCATGTATTTGAACAGGACAGGTCAAGAGTTTCCCTTCACCAGCTGCCTCATGGTATCCTCGTATTAGAATCATAGAAGCACAGAGCCCTAGACTGGTTTCTGTTGAAAGGGACCTTAAGATATTGGAGTTCCACCCCCTGCCACGGGCAGGGACCCCTTCCACAGGAGCAGCTTGCTCCAAGCCCCTGTGTCCAACCTGGCCTTGAGCACTGCCAGGGATGGGGCAGCCACAGCTTCTCTGGGCACCCTGTGCCAGCGCCTCACAGCCTGGATCCGGTTGCTGCTGTGGTGTGTGCAGACTCTGCCACCATAAAGGAGCAGCAGGAGAGGGTGAACCCCGGGATGTGTGGGTTAGAAACCAGGCCATGGCAAAGCAAGGAAGGGTCAGAAAGAGGGGAGGGTGCGAGGGCAGGATTCTGAATGAGGCTCTGGGTGCCAGCAGCCCTGTCCCTGGGATGGGAAGAGCCCATCCCACCTCCTGCAGGCCCCGGGGATGATGCTCACAGCAGCCACCGGTCTCTGCATCCCGCTCTGCCCTTCCCTGCCACAGGAGCAGCTCCACCCTGGCCACTGCTTCCTGCTCCTCTTGTGACCGGGGCTGCTGGTCTCCATGTCCAACCTGGGGTGCCTTGGGGGCCCTCACTGCTGCGGTGCTGGTGCTGAGCAGTGCTCGTGCTGCTCGTTCCCAGGGCTTCCCAGCAGGATGCTTCCCTCAGAGCAGCGGTAGCGCAGTAACACAGTGCGGTGCCATGGTTCTGTTCCCTCTAGCCCAGGCTCATCCAGAGCCCTGATGGGTGCCAGTGGGTTTGAGCAGCGTGGGGTGATCCCTATGGCATGGCTGCCTTGTCACAGGGACGGGGGAAGTGGCTTAGGCTCTGTAGCCCCAGGGACAGGGGAGTGGGGCAGCCCATAGGGGAACACTGATCCCACTGTATGAGAAGTAACGGGGGCTCAGCTTTACACCGTCCTGTGGGGGCTGCTGTGTGGTGACCCAACCCAACTGCTCCACACTGGGTTTCACTCCCTGGTGCTCCCGTGGCACGGGCAGGAGCTCTGCTGGACCAGGGAGAGGTGATGGATGCATCCCTGCCTTGTGCCTCTTGCTGGGAAATGCTCTTGGAAGGGTTTCTGACCCCTGTTGATGGTTTCCTACCATCTCCCTGGGCTCAGAACGGGACTCTCTGGATCATCATTTCCGAGCTACTCAACTCGTGTCTTTTCCTCCAAGATAAGGGATTGTTGTCTCGCCTCAGCAGAGTTGCTTCAATAAGAGCAAATGAATGTGAATGACTCTGCAAGTCTGGGATGGAGTTCGGGGGTGGCCACTGCATTCCCCAACCATTCACAGTTGTGGCTTAGACATTACTGGGAACTAATGAGGGACCAGAAGAATGGGGGGAAAGAAAGCAGGAATAATCCTGGCAATTCCCATCTGGAGCCTTGGATTGCTCCCCTTGGTGAGGAACAAGGCAGGGAACAGGGGAGAAAGGAACCCCAGGAACGGCAGCAGTTGAACAGAGCAGCACGGGGGCAGGGGTGGGATGTCCCCGAGTGGAGCCCACTGGGACCCCCCGGCCATGGGTGGGTTGGGGCACATCCTGCTGCCGAGCGGATGGAGGTTGGTGCCTGGGGGGGCTGGGGCAGCGCCAGGGGGTGGTCCTGGGGCTCCCTTCCTGCATTCCCAGCGGTGGGAGCCGGCCCCTTGCCAGAGCCCCCTGCAGCGGCCTGGGAGGGGATGGAGCCGGGATGGGGCTGGTCTCTGCTCCCAAGGGCTTGAACCTGCCCGAGGGGAGACTGAGCTGAGCTCTTAGGCAGAAGCTCTTCCCTGTGAGGGTGCTGAGGCGCTGGCACAGGGTGCCCAGAGAAGCTGTGGCTGCCCCATCCCTGGCAGTGCTCAAGGCCAGGTTGGACACAGGGGCTTGGAGCAAGCTGCTCCAGGGGAAGGGGTCCCTGCCTGTTGCACGGTGCTGGAGCTGGAGGAGCTTTAAGGTCCCTTCCACCCAATGCACTCCAGGATGGGCAGAGGGACCTGTGTCTCTCCATCGCAGGGCACAGGGCACAGCGCTGGTGGGAGGAAAGGAGGAGCCCGGAGGCTTCGGTTGCGCCGGGGCTGATCCCATTGTTCCTCAGGATCCAGCCTCGGTTTCCGTTCTGGGGCTGGTGCCAGTCCTGGTGCTCATTGTGCAGGACCCAGCGCCTGGGTGCAGGCTCCTCCAGCAGTGCCTGTGCTGCAGCTCCGGCTGGGAATGCTGCTGGGGGCTCACGGGTGCAGTGCCCTGGCCCTGAGTGGAGGAAGAGCCGTCGGTCATTTCCTGGCTGGATCCATCCCATTCCCTACAGCTCTCTGGCTCTCGGTGCTCTGGGGGCTGTTTCTGCTTGAGGACTGTCATGGAGATGAACGGCTGGACTCCCAGCCATCGGTGGAGCGGCCACAGCCCCGCAGGGATCAGCCCATGTGCTCCTGTCCCTGCCTGGGAGCAAGGAGCAAGGGCTCGGCCCGCTGCAGGGTCCCTGTGGCTGCCATCAGCTGGGCATGGGCCGTGTTGGGGGCTGCTTGTGTCCCTGCTCTGTGCTGGGTCTAACGGTGCCTGAGCCTGCCCGGTGCCAGCCTGAGCACACGGGGACCCCTGAGACGGGTTTCTGGGGTGGCAGCACAGGGCAGGGTCCTCCCATGGCACAAGGGCACAGCCACATCCTGCAGTTGGGAATCCCCTGGCAGGGCCTGGCTGATGGGAGCTGCTGGAGCCGGCAGCGCGGGGCTGGTCCCCCTGGTGTGCACTGAGTGGTGACACCTTGAGCAGGACCAAACAGCAGGGCCAGGGCAGGGATTGTGCCCCTGTGCTGGGCACTGGGGAGGCTGCACCTCAGATCCTGTGTTCAGCTCTGGGCCCCTCACTGCAAGAGAGACATTGAGGGGCTGGAGCGGGGCCAGAGAAGGGAATGGAGCTGGAGCAGGGCCTGGAGCACAGGGGAGATGGGGAAGGGCTGAGGGACCTGGGGGGTTCAGATGGAGAAGAGAAGGCTCAGGGGGGACCTGATGGCTGCCTCCAAGTGCCTGAGAGGAGGATGGAGCCAGGAGGGGCTGGGCTCTGCTCCCAAGGAACAAGGGATGGGACAAGAGGAACCGGCCTCAAGCTGCACCAGGGCAGGGTTAGATGGAGCTGAGGAACAATTCCTGCCCCAGAGGGTGCTCAGGCATTGGAACAGGCTGCCCAGGGCAGGGCTGCAGGCACCGGCCCTGCAAGGGTTCACACAGCGTGGAGACGAAGCCTCAGTGCCATGGGTTAGGGGTGGCCTTGGCAGTGCTGGGGTAAGGTTGGACTGGATGAGCTTGAAGCTGTTTTCCATCCTGGTTGATTCTGTGAACAGTACAGCATGAGCAGTTGATAGGCCCAGAACCAGGAACTTTCCCTGTGAAACCCACAGGTGGGCTGAGCCCTACAGTCACCCCTGCGTGTCCTGCTGGTCTCCAGCCTCCCTTGTAATGGGGAAGGAGCAGGTGGGCCTCCAGATATGCTGGTGCAGATGGGGAGGTGGAGAATCATGGTTGCAGATGGGGGGACAGGGCTGTTCGGGAGATGGTGTTTATCAACGGTGATGGAGAGGAGATGGTTCTCAAACGAGCAGAGCAGCCCCCATAAGCTGGGACAGCCTGCCCTCTGCCCTCAGACCCTCTGTGCCCTGGTGGCCATGTGCCTGCGGTGGGCTCAGCTGGGGCAGGTCTGTGCTCTGCTGCGAGGGTGAGGAAGGGTCCCTGCTGGGTGACTCAATGCAGGGGGGTGTGGAGGGGGTGCAGTGGCATTAGACCTTGTGGGGGAGGGAGGGGGGGCACATGTGGGAGTCTGTGTATGGTGGGGGGCTGCTTGGTGATGTCTGTCCCTGGCATGGGATTTCCCATGTCCGGTTGGGGTGATCAACGCAAGGATCCCTGGGGGGGGGGGTGTGGGGGTGTGTGTGTTTTTCCTGCCATGGGGAGCCCCACGGGTGCCTCTATGGGGTTCCTGGGGGAGTGCCCCCGGATGGGGTCCTGTCAAGGTCCCTGCGGGGGTGGCCGGGGTCCCCCCCTCCGCGCTGACCTCCTCTCCGCACCCGCAGGGCCCCCGGGCTGGCTGTGAGCGCGGCCGCCGGTGCCGGTGCCGGTGCCGGTGGGGCCGCCCCGCCGCGCCGCGCCGCGCCGCACGGAGCATGCCTCTGAGCCCCGCCGGCAGCAAACATGAGAGCCCGGAGTCGCCGCCGCCGGAGCGACAGCCCCGTTCCGGAGAGCCGGGCTCCAGCCTGCGGGAGGATTCGCGGCTCGACCCAGCCCGGAGCCCCGCCGGGCCCCGCTCCCCCAAGCTGGCGGCAGCGGCGCGCATGGAGGAGCCCGCACCCGGCGCCATCGTCGTCCGCATCGGCATCCCCGACCTGCAGCAGACGGTGAGTACGGGACCGGCCCCGCTCCCTGCGCAGCCGCCCCGCCGCCAACTTCGCACCGCCGCGGCGGCCGCGGGCCCGGCAGGACGGCTCCGGCCCGGACCCGCTCCGGTGCCCCCGCTCCCCATTGCCCCCGTGTCCCCCCTGCTCCCCATTGCCTCCGTGTCCCCCCCGCTCCCCATTGCCCCCGTGTCCCCCCCCGCTCCCCATTGCCCCGCTCCCTCCCCGCAGAGCCCGCAGGCTCGGACGCGGGTGCAGCCCCGCTGCAGCGCTGCCTTTCCGGGTCCAGCGCGGCCGGGGCGCTCCGGGGCTCCCGGTGCGGCCGCTTCCGCCGGGGGGTCCCCTCCTCGGGCCGGGAGCGCTGCGCTGCGCCGCCTGCCCCGAGCGCAGGGACAGCTGGGCTGGAAGAGGGGGCAGAGGCAGCTCCGGGGCACCCAGCACGGGCACGGTGCCGGTACCGGTACCAGCACCGGCTGGGCCGGACTGCGGGAGCTGGCGGCCGCTTGTGTGCGGACGGGACCGGGCAGGGCGCCTGCAGCTGCGTGTGACGGGGGGGACATGGGCACCGTGCAGTGCTGGAGGGGTGGCAGTGCCGCGGGGCAAGGCGTGACACGGAGGGGCAGGGGGTGACACGGTGATTGCTGACCCCAGCGCGGTGGGTGACCCACAGAGGCTGTAGGGTGGCTGTTGCTGACCAGGGGTTACCTGCGGTATTGGGTGCAAGTGTTGGAAACTGGTCAGTGCTGGGAAGAAGTTTCCTGAAGGACAGTGGTAACCGTGGCCCTCACGAAGGAGAGCGTTCATTAGAGCTGGGAGCAGGGTTCAATGATGTGCTCTGGGGCAAGTCACTGTGGGCAGGAGAGGGGGTGCCCCTGGGGGATGAGGGGTGCAGGAGATGAATCAGACATGGGGTGACCAGAGCGGTGCTGGGAAGTGAGAGCTCCCCTCTTGGATGGGGAAGTAGCTCTGCTGGAGCCTGGCATGGTTGCAGTGCTGCTGGATAGGGAGCAGGCACGCTGGGGTGCTGGCGTGCTCCCAGCACTGCTCTGCAGGCTCGGCTGCCAAGCACAGGGCAGCGGCAGCATTGCCTTTGCTGTCGAAGAACTGGACTCGGGCTCTGCTCCAGCGAGCACTGACCTTGTGCTGTAGGGAGGGCTCTGTCCCTGCTCCTCCTGCCCCAGCCCCTGCTGGGGTTGTGGGCAATGGCTGCGTCCCTTTCCCTTCACATCAGCTCCTCCTCGTACCCCCTGTGCTCACTCAGCCCCAGAGCTGGTCCTGCTCCAAGCTCACCCTGTGCGACGGGTCCAAGGGCTGCCAGCGCGGGCCCCTGCTCTGCACATTGCCATGGTATCCACCTCTCTCCTCTGCTGCTCCTTGGGCACTGCTCCGCAGCTCCCTGCCCTGCCTTTGTTCCGGGAGGGTGCGTGGGCACGGGAGGGAGCAGCGATGCTGGAGTTGTGGGATGCTGCTCTAACCCCTGCTCCTTACCCAGCCCCCGCTGCAACCCAACCCACGGAGGCAGTGGGATAGCTCAGCCTGGAGGCAGGGGAAGGGATGGGGCAAAGCTGGGCATCCTTGCACTGTACAGAGCAGGAATTTCCCTCTCAGACCTCCCCTGCTCCTGGAGCCGATGCTTATCAGAGAGCTGGAGGGTGGGAACGTCTCTGGTGCAACCTCTGAGCTGGGAGCCAGCACCGGTGGCTGGGAATGGGGGTGTTGCTCCCATGGGGGGGTCACTGTGGGGGCTGACAGGGCGCAGTGGGGAGCACTGGGGCCGTGGTGCAGTGCAGAGCAGCACAGTGCATCCTGCCCAGCACCAGCATCCTGCCCACTGCAGCCTGGTCCATGTGCAGGGGGGTCTGGCTCGGGTGCTGCAGGGTGGGAGCAGGAGCTCCTGGGCTGTGCAGAGTGCCCATGGGCAGCAGGGCGGTGCAGTGCCTGCAGCCCCACAGGCGAGGGGAGCCGCACACCCTGTGCTGTGCCCTGCATGATGCTCCCATGCTGCCAGCAGCACCCAGACCCAGCCGTGCTCAGGTGGGGGTCAGGGCATCCCCTCCTGCAGACCAGGGCAGTGCATGCAGAGGGCTGCTGCATCCATGGCTCAGGTGCATCCATGGCTCAGCTGCATCCATGGCTCAGGCGGGGGCTGACTCCCCAAATAGCAGCTGCCTGCTTTGCTGTGTTAGCTGAGGTACCTTCGCTTAAAGGGAAGCAGGAAAATGCAGCTGGCTTAACAGTGCCTCCATAAGAGCTGTGTCCTGCGACTGGCCCTGAGCTCCCCTGGCTTCTGCATCATCCCTGTACACCAGCTCTGATGTGGGGACTCTCGGTGCTCATTCCTGGTGCCCTGAGGGTCCCTATGTGGGCACTGTGAAAAGGGGCAGGAGGAAAACGGGGAACTGAGCCTGTCTGGGGAACTGGGGCAGGGGGAAATGGGGAACTGCCACTGCTGGGCTTGCCATGACCCCATTGGCTCCATGAGGCACTCTGGGATGTGCGGGATGTTTGCTGTGTTCTGGAGCAGCTCATGGGATGCTCCAGAGCCGTGTGTGTTCCCTGCCTCCTCTTCCCCTCCTACAGGCCCTTCCCCTGCCCTGCTGCTCTCCTTGCCTGGCTCCTGTGGCTGTGGCCCTGCCGATGGGCAGCAGTAGGAATGTAGATGCTTTGGCTGCCCTGGGGGCTCTGCCCCAGGCCAGGAGCAGTGTCTGTGTCCCAGGAGGGATCCCACAGGGGCACAGTGGGACTCAGGTGGGATGAGGAAGGTGAAGGATGTATGCTCTGCGGGCAGGAAGGAGGAACAGGATGCTGATGGCACCCGTCAGATGCCTGCCTGGTGATGGGAGCACTGGAGCACCCCATGCTGCTGTGCCCTGGGGACAGCCCCAGCCCTGCCCATCAGAAGGAAGGGCCATGTGCAAGCGCTGCTGGTCCAGCCCTTGCGGGTCTCTCACCTCTTAGAGCAGTGTGTGGAATGAATGGCCAGCAGGGAATGGCACCAGCTGCTCTGCACTGCAAGGAACAGGCTCCTTTATGGGAATCCAGAGGTGCTCAATCCCAGCCCAGCACATCCCTCCTGTTTCTGCACTGCGGGAGGGCCCAAGCTCCCGTCCCCCTCTGCCTGCCTGTCTGCATCCCATGTGCGGAGCAGGAGAAAGGAGACGGGTCCCGTTTCTCCCTCAGGGCAGGTCCCATCTCCAGCTGTTTGGATGCTGGGGGATGTCTCTGTCAGTGCTCAGACCATTCAGCCTGAAGGTGCTGGCCCATCCTGAGGACATCAGCAGTGATGTCTCTGGAGACTCTGCCTTTCAGAGGCAGGGCACAGCCTGGGTGGGGATCGCCCAGGGCAATGGAAGCCACTAATGGGGAATTCCAAGGCTTTCAGCTCGCTAAGCACAGTGCTGGGGGATGCAAAGGAACCGAAAAGGCTTGGAGACAACCCCGGGATTTCGGGAAAACCCACCCGGAGGCTTCAACCCCGAGCGGGGCCATGAGCTTGAATGAGCACAGGGGAGATGGGGAACGGCTGGGGGACCTGGGGGGTTCAGATGGAGAAGAGAAGGCTCAGGGGGGACCTGATGGCTGCCTCCAAGTGCCTGAGAGGAGGATGGAGCCAGAGGGGCTGGGCTCTGCTCCCAAGGAGCAAGGGGCATGGGCAGTGGGATTGATGGAGCTCTGTTGGTGAGAGGCTGCTGAGGCCTTGCCGAGGCCAGGGATGGAGCTGCTCATTCCCTCCTGGAGCTGCAGAGGTCTCTGCCCTCAGTCCTGTTCTCAGGCACCTCCTCAGTTCAGGTTCATATTCCGGCTGTTACCTCCTTAATGCAAAGGAAAGAAGAGCCTGAAAACCAGTGCACGAAGCATTGATTCCCCTCTTAAGCCAAGTGAAGGGAAGGAGTTCATACCCCAAACCAGAGAGAGCAAAGATGTCCTGAGCTTCTGCTCAGCCAGGGCTGGTGGGAAGGCAGGATGCTGTGGGACAGCGCCATTCCCTTGGGATCTGAACTCCCATGAGTGGTTGCAGAGCATCCTGTGAGCTCTACTGATGGGCAGAGTAGATTGCTGAGGGAGCTGGGTCTCTATAGATTGGAGAAGAGGAGATTGAGGGGTGACCTTATTAGTGTATATAAATATATAAAGGGGGAGTGTCCCGAGGATGAAGCCAGGCTCTTCTCAGTGGCAAACAATGATAGGACAAGGGGCAATGGGTGCAAACTGGAACACAAGAGGTTCCACTTAAACCTGAGAAGAAACTTCTTCTCAGTGAGGGTGACAGAACACTGGAACAGGCTGCCCAGGGAGGTTGTGGAGTCTCCTTCTCTGGAGACATTCAAAACCCGCCTGGACACGTTCCTGTGTAACCTTATCTAGGTGTTCCTGCTCCGGCAGGGGGATTGGACTGGATGAGCTTCTGAGGTCCCTTCCAATCTCTAACATACTGGGATACTGTGATACTGTGATGGGGAGGGAGCCGAGGCACCTCTCTGGTGTGGCTCTGGGGGCTGCAGAGGGACACTGGCTCTGACGTGGTTGCAGAGCAGGGCTGTGGGAGGACAGAATCAGTAAAAGGCCCCATCTGTGCCACCTTCTGGGCTGTTTCCTCTCCCTAATAGGAAAAGCAGAGAGCAGCCACATAGGAATTGCCAGTGGACGTGCATCCGCCCAGCAGCCAGTACCAGTCTTGTTCTGCTGCAATGTGCAAGGCCAGGTTGGACACAGGGGCTTGGAGCAAGCTGCTCCAGTGGAAGGGGTCCCTGCCCATGGCAGGGGTTGGAGATGGATGAGCTTTAAGCTGCCTTCCATCACAAACCAACCTGTGGTTCTATTCTGGGACTCCTCCCTTAGCTCTGCGCTGGCCTCTGCATGGGGAGGATGGGTAAGCCTGGGCAGAGGAGGCTGATGGATGTGCAAGGCCCTGGGCATGCTTCCTAATGCTGGTGGAGCTCCCCTGTCCCCCTGCCCGCTCTGGATGCAGGCTGGGGCTCATCCCTCAGGATGAAGAGCTCGGT